GAGCACGATCGCATAACACACTTTGCGTCCCCCAACCGCCACCTCCATCCCCCACGACCTTTACAACGACGCGCACCGGGTACCGTTAAGCAAGCCATTTAGCACCCTCTCTCCCTCCCTCTCTCATGCTCTCTATCTCCCTTTTCTCACATCTCCCCTCCCCCACCCCCTCTCCCTCTCCCTCTCTCTCCCTCTCCCTCTCCCTCTCTCTCCCTCTCTCTCCCTCTCCCTTTCCTCCACCCCCCACCTATTGCCGAAAAAACTTCACGCGCCTGACGCGTCGCAACTTTGTCGTCACGCTCCTGTTCTCCAGCTCCTCCTCATCCACGTCGTCCCCCTTTGTTCATGCTGCCCACCACCATACCACGGGGCGGTGTGGGCGCTGACGCGGCACAAATTTATTCCAGTGTTGGCCCGAGCGCAAAATACGAAAACCGATTGTGTGAATGGGAATTTGGAGACGTACAGTGTTAGAGAAGCTCCCTCTATACATCTACGCAAAAAAAAGAAAAGAAATGGGAACGAAGAAAGCAAAATTTTTCCAGGTCATGAGCCATACTCCCCATGACTGCTTGACTGCTGCTCACGTAGCGGGGGTATCCCCACGATACAGTCCATCCAATCGGTTCGTGATCCACTGCCCATGAGCGGGGCGATGGCCGGGGTGTGTCTGAGCGCCTGCGGCCGCGCGGCTAGGCAGGCCCGCCACACGCCGGCGGTCTGCGGGACTGCCTACAGCACAGGCGACCGCCTAATATGACGCTCCAAATCCACCCCCCCACCCCCCGGTTATTGAAAATTTGCAATATGTTATAGAATACACTGATAAACTAAGTGTTCAATTGCTCAACACTTGTGTGGTGTTGTGGTCTAGCAGAAAGACGATTAGTTACAAACCTGGCCGCGGGGGGCACGCGCAGCGCCACCAGAGGCCAGGTAGTGAGTCTGAGTCGCTAGTCAGTTATTTCGGCAGCGGTCCAGTACCGAGTAGTGGTCTGCACCTCCCTCTCAGAAGCAGAGTTAACACCAAGTTAAAAGTTATCATTTATCCCCAACATGGCCCGCCCACGGACACAACAACTTGTAAGTGTAAAACTGTAAGTTGAATACTTGCAAGTGTGCAACTGCGGAGTTGAACACCTGCAAGTATTTAACTTGCAGTTGCACACAAGTGTTGAGCAGTTGAAAACTTAGTTTATCAGTGTAGCCGGTTGTGCTTTTCTTTAAATCTTCACAACACCGTATAATCCTCAGGGCGAAGAGGAAGAAAACAACTCCTGGATTTACAGAGTAACGGAAAAAAAGAGGAGAGACTGAACGCCACTCTGGGCGCACTTCTGAGAGATATACCAACAAATTTTCAACTGTGCCGCATCGTTAACATTTTTATTGTGCTAATTCTGTTTAGATCTCAATGACTGCTCGAGACGCGAAGGGATAAGGGATCTCTCCGCGATTTAGGCCCGTAGGCATACGACCTCGACCGAAGGCAGTAGCAGGGCGCCCAGCAGGCTGTGCGAGTCCGATAAAATTTATTTTCGGTGAATTAATGAAAAAATATACTTTTATAGCTGGAAAAAAGATTTTATCCAGGGTCACGCTGGAAACAATTACCGCAAACCCACCCAGACCTGCTGACTACTGGACAATCACCTTCTCGTTGGCAGCGCCCTTTTGTTGAGGAGGGGGCGAGGGGAAAAAAACGAGCAACCGCACACCGCACGGGCTTATATCTCTTCCCAACCCCCCGAGCACCCCCCCCCCTCTCTCTCTCTCTCTCTCTCTCTCTCTCTCTCTCTCTCTCTCTCTCTCTCTCTCTCTCTCTCTTTCCCCCCGCGCGTCCCACCCTACGCCACGCCTGGCGATACTTTTATAGCAAACTCAATGGGAACACATCACTACGTCAAATCGGCTCGCAGCCCGGCTAACGAACGCGGCGTGCTATCTGCGCCCCTTCCTCCCGCCCCCTCTCCTCCCACTTCCCCTATCCGAGCTCCCCCTCCCCTTCAGTATTTTATTGGCATACAGAACACGTCTCCGCAGAATCTCTCGCCAATCCGCCGGAATAAGCTGCTCCAGTGGAGCTCCAGCGGGGCTCCCAGCGAATCTCCAGCGTGGTTCCCACAGCGGGGTTGTTGTATTATAGGCAGGTTCCTCCATTGTTCTACAACATTGGTTTAGGCAGGTTGCAGAGATTTTCAGCAGCTTCCTTTCTTTCAATAAATTGCTTTGTGATTGGGTATGGCAGAAAGTAAGCGCACACTTATTTTTTCATAGTATTAGTTTTCAAGTAAATGCAACGCGACACATATCTTTTTCCAGAGTTTTGAGGCAGTGATTTCCAGCAGGCAGCAGGGTTCCAGCAGGCAGGCTCCAGTGGGCCCCGGCTCCCTCCCACTTGCCATGCGTCCCGGCCGTGCCGTCCCGCCCTCACACACATATAGCGAAACACATGCACTGCATTATCGCCCGCGCGAGCAGCTGCTGCGCTTACCCAATCTTCTCTCCTCGCTCGCTCGGGGGATTTTCACCAGAATGTTTGAAAACCGTGGAGTTTCGGTATATATATATATAAAACTCCTCGCAGCCAGCGAGTCGCGGCAGACCACAGACCATCATTACTCTTCTGACAGGCGCGAAAATGGACGGACGAACGGACGGTGCGTTTGCGCCTTCACTATCGACGCGAGAGAGTCCCCCCCCCCTCCCTGAGCTCCCCCAACTCCTGCCATATTCGCTTAAGCTGCGATATGGGAAGGCGGGTAATGTAAAATCGTAAATCGCGTGACCACCTATTCAGTGTCACTGCTCAAGGTCACACTCAACAACTTACATTCGTGTGTTTTTGTGTAAACGTTTGTGCTAAGTTAAGCCTATACCTTCCTTTCGTTTGAAACCAATTTGTGCACCAAACAATTCCTGATTTCGAACAAAAAAAATAAAAAAAAAATGAAAAAAAGTGTTCAAATTAGCGCAGAAATTATTTAGGGGTAAAATTCGACTGTTTAATCAGTGTGCTTGCAGGGACACACTTATGTAACCTTTTCCCCAGTACAGTACCGGATCATGAAAGCAGATGTTACAAATTTGAGACTAACGTGATTTTTAAAAGTTTGTCCTCGTTTCATTTTTTTTTCCACTCCGATGGCTTTTTTTATATAAAGTTAAGTCTAGATAATGTTACTTGTACATATTAATTTAAAGGAAAGGTGTGTCAAGGTATCATCTGCTAAAACATTCATGCGAAATGGAAGTGAGGTTGGTCGATGCTTCCAGGGCTTGGCCCGTGGAATGACCCACAAACAAACACGCACAGTCACCAGTCGGCCGCCCACCACTCTACTGTATCGCGCTTCACACAGCTCCGCACCACTCTGCACGAAATACACAGGGAGGAAAAAAAAACACGTAAAAGGCTATTTATAACCAGATTATAACGATTAGTAATGAAAAGCGGACCCAGCCGACTATGGCCGACATTCCAAAGATGATGATCAGAGGCCACCCAACGTGCAGTGCCAGACTACGCCCTGCCGCCGCCCCGCCAGACTCCGCTTTATGAGTTTCTGCTCTCTCGGCGTGCGCCGCGCCGCCTCCCTCGAGAGGGAAGAACGGGAAAGAAAAAACAGGAAATTCCGCCTCTCACTCCCTTTTTATTAATAGGGTGCTATTGGAAGGTAAACAAGCTTAGTGTGATTACGCGCCTTTTCAAAGCTAAAAATCTTTTAAAAAGCAAAAAATACAAAATAGGAAAAAAAAGGCCCTGGATTGAATTACGGGGAAAAGACGGTCTATTTTTCCTCCCCAGTGCAGAGAAACTTGAGGATAGCTCGCGGGAGGTTGATGGTTATCAGGAGGATGGACAAAACAAAAGCGGGGCAGCCGAGTGCAGAGGGGATGGGGCTCCACCAGGGCTCCAGTGGGGCCCGGCGATCCCTTTAGAAAGAGACACCGGAGATTAGACCCTTCCCACCAAACCCACCCCTCACGCCCTCCGAGCACACGCACACAACCACACACACACGTCTAATTCCTTCCTCGATTCGATGACCCACATTTACCCATCACAACTCATTTCCCCTCCTCGGTCCTGCCCCGGCGACCGAGCGCTGCCAAAGCGCTGCTGATCGCCAAGGTCCGGCGCGCCTGACCGTCCCAGGTTAGGCAGCCGAGTGAGTGGCAGAGCTCGCCAAAGCACGCGGTCGCCTACAAACTGGGCGCTCCGGGAAATGCGTGTGGCTCGAGCCGGGCCCGGGGAAGGAAGAGGAGAAAGGTTCGACGCCACCTATACAAGAAAGAAAATGGAGAACTTTTCGGAGTTGCTGCAAAATTCCCATTTTTAAATTTCCTGACCTCTTCCTGACAAGAAAAAAGACATGCCGTAAAACAGGCTAATATGGACCATACGGGGTGAAGTGGACCACCCACTTTTTTCTATATTCCGCTTCTGCTCGACTCGTACTACCACTTAGTTTTGTTCCTGACAATGCTGGGCGACAGCTCACTGGTTGCGCAAGTCAAGCAGAAGCGGGACATTGGAATAAGAGGGTGGTCCACATTACCCCGTATGGTCCATATCACGTTGAGTCCCACGTGACCATACGTATGGTCACAAAGCACGGGATTAATGGACCCCCTGGGACTTAACGTGATATTAGCCTGTTTTACGGTGTTTTCCTGACATTCAAGCAACAGTACCCAGAGGCACAAGCGACACAGGTCTGCGCTCAGAGGGCGCGCTACCGCGAGGCTAGCTCTAGCTCTTGCGCGCAGCACCTGACGCGAATTTTCTCAAACTTTTCCCCCAAGTTCCTAACATTTTCCTGATTTCCTTGACACCATTTTAAAATCCTGAGATTTTCCTCAATTTCCGCAATTTCATGACGCGGAAAATGCCTCTTCTGGGGCGACAAACCGTAGACCGGCTTTTGATGAAAACTGCCAGGCCAAAGAATTGTAGGAATTTACGACAGCATTTAGTGATCTGCTGCTTAACTTACCCGCTGGATCTCGTTCATCTTCGTAGTCTCCTTGCCATAGGCCCATAACGTGACGCCCAGCTTCAACGCCCAGTTCCGGACTCTGCAAAATAAAACACACACAC